CTACTAAAACTTTTTAAGTTTTAACTTCAATTTTCTATTGGTAATTTTTTGCATCTCAATTCTACAACTTTTTTCTTCATGTTTTACATTAACATTTCATAATCACAACTTTTTTATACTTTAACTTCATTTTCTTGCAAGTTATAGATATCAATAAATGCCTACAACTTACAAATTTATCCCACAAATTACTACATCAGAAATTTATTGTTGTAGGAAAACAAACACCCAAAACTGCATGTAACTCTATAGCTCGATATCAAAATCTTACCTTCATAGATTTGCAGGTAACTACATATAGGGATTTTTCAACTTTTACTGTACTATATATTTCCTATTCATGTGTTCATCTCATTTTGACATTAAACAGGGTAACACAATTACATCTACCATGTATGATGCTAATATTACAGCCATTGCTGACCAAATGACATTCGGAAAGACATACATAATCTCAAACACAACTGTTAAAGATAACAAAAGTGAATTTAGAAGTACACCCGAGGAAAAAAATTGGAGTATAACCGGAAGAACAAAAGTTGAAGAGCTCAACGAAAATAACTTAGACTTTTTGTTTTCCAAATTTGAGCTCACTCCATTTCATGCACTAGAACATTATATGGACAACAACACAAATATAAGCAAGAATTTTACTATACAAACTTTATAACAAGTATTTTCATTTAATGTTTCATGAGTATTCTATTTATACTTATATTTAATACGTAAAAAATACACGACACATGTATTTCTTTGTATTCTTGTTGCAAATGTCATTTGTGTTGCTATAGAAGTTAGACAAAAAACGAATTATTTAGACTCATTTTGGTACTCAAGTCAGTCTTCAAGATGTCATATTGATAAATAAAACTTTCCAAACGGTGATATTAACTCTATGAGACACTTTTGTTGAAAGTGAGTGCATTGTCATTGTTTAAAACCTACAAACAAAACCTGTAATATGGGCTACAAGTCTTAAAGCTTCTTCTTTTAATAGTAACTTTAACCTCAACGTAATTTTTGGTTTAAAATAATGTGCAGAACTGTAAAAAAAAAAAAAAACATAATAATTATTATTACGTTTCTTCCTTACACATGCATTACACTCTCTACTAAAGCCAACAACAACATTTTCATTAATCCTGAATCATTGGCTGTGGAGACTACAAAGAGTGGTATTAAAACATATTTACAAGAGTTTACCTTTCCCTCTTTTCTACCAGAAAACAACAACATACTATATTTTTATGTCTGTATATAATTGTCTAATTGTTTTTCACATGGTATTAACCAACAAGGAAAACCCTGACCAACTTACAGACGGGAACTCATTTATTCATATGAGTCCACCGAAGCTATCGCCCCCTACAGACAATAAATTCACATCAATCTGTGAACTGCGAGGAGTTTATTTAGAGGTTTTCTTTAAATTCGTTTATCAAATATACATAACATATGTACATTTTCACTATTAATGCACCAATTTTTTTCCTTGCCTATATTCATAATTTAATAATACATACATTTTTGTAACAGATTAAAATTTATTTAACCAAGGCCAGTTGCACAATTATTACAACACATCAGAGATTTTGGTATATGTCCTGCACTAATTGCAAGAAAACGTCGATTGCAGACTTAGGACAAATTCATAAATGTCGCTTCTGCGAATACGAGCATGCAAGAGCTGAACCCTGGTATATTGAACTATGAAACGTATATTTACATATACTAATATTAATATCATTTAAACAATACAATAACTTAATGCAAACCAATTTATCTCCAGAGCTAATGCTTTTGTGCGACTTGAAGACAAAACTGGACATTTGGATGCAAGCATCATTGGTTAGGTAGCAGAGGCTTTATTGAAAACCAATGCCCATACAATAATGGAACATTAATTTCCACCGGGTAAATCCCAAATACTAGCATTCTTTAAGAATACTTTTTCCAATACACGGATATACTAACGAAATACATTATAACTGTCACAAAATTCAAATACAGTGGTGAAGAATCTTGCTCAAACTAATAACGAAACAGAGTTGCTATTCTATCTAAAAACCAATAATAAAAAAAGGATACGCCTAAGTACTGTTATGAAATTATCTTTGTCTTCAATCTTATAACATCAATTACTGATACTGATTCCTCAAACACAATGACCGAAGTAAATCCTTCAGCCAGTTATGTAGAAAAATCAATTGAAACAAACATCAATTCAGACACAGACAAAAGAGACAAACACAAGATGCACAACACAAATGTTGACTTTTCCACATCCATAAAAGAGATCCCCAAACTTCATAAAAAAAAGACCTCTTTTCCCCAAAACACGAGTTGAGAACATCGAAGCGAAATCTACCAAAAAAATATAAAGGTGCCAAAGTTTCTGATGACCACGCCAATACACCCACTTTGGAAAGACGACATGAATGATGAAACGTCTACATTGCTTTTATACTATAAGCAATTGCATAGTATATCTTTTTCATATGTTTTAGAAAAACTATCCCCATCTGTCTAAAGTAAGTTATCCACTATGCGTAAAACTACATCAAACAACAATGATTTTTGTTTTGTAAATTGATGGGTTGCTATAAATATTTTGGATGCAATATGCAAATATAACTGCTTGCACATAGTACTAATCATCTATAAAACATTTTTATTTCCGTTATTAAATAGTGTTCAATTACTCATTATTTACTCCATATTGTATTTTCCTTTCCTCCTTAATTAAACACGTAATAGTTTAAATTGTTTCATCATCTTACACATTTCATTTCTCTCCTCAAAAAAATATTACCTTGAAAATTAAACGATAAATACTTTGGATGCAATATGCAAATATAACTGCTTGTACATAGTACTAATCATCTATACAACTTTTTTATTTCCGTTATTAAATAGTGTTCAATTACTCATTATTTACTCCATCTTATATTTACCTTTCCTCCTTAATTAAACATGTAATAGTTTAAATTGTTTCATCATCTTACACATTTCATTTCTCTCCTCAAAAAAATATTACCTTGAAAATTAAACGAACGATGTCTACAAAGCAATTTCCATGCAATTCACTATACATGTACCTAATTTAACATTACCAAAATATAATGTTAAATTTTTTATCCTCAAAAATGTTAAATAACTTTAAACTCTACAACCTATTTCTATGTATAAACAAATAATCTTGTCATACTTTTGTAAAAAAAAAAAAAAAACACTATTTCAATTTATCTGTTACATCTTGCATTTTATTTAGCTTTGAAATCTACATTCTTTTAATAAATACATAAGACAATTTTATTCATATTATTATTTATTGTAACATGCTAAAAAAAATTGTATTTACAATTGTTTTTTATTACATTTAGTCAATAATATAATATTTTAATGATAGCTATGAAATTCAGAACACAAGAGCTATTTTCAACATCACAAATTTTTTTTTTAACTCATTAAAAATACATATTCAAAGCTAACACGACCTAAAAATAACAAAATCCGTGCATTGTATGGGCCAATACTATTAATTACAAAATCGTGAATGACAAATAGGCATGCGTAATGGCTAACCAAGTTTAATATGAAAAATTTAGATCACATGTAATCAAATTGGTTAATCTATGACGTGATTACGTGTATATGTAAAAAAAATCAGTGTCCTAAAAAGCAACGCCTAAGCACGAAACGGGAACAAAAAGCCTTGCTTTGCACTTTTTTGCACTTTTTCATTTTTTTTTTTACTTTTTTTTCAAGCCTATGCGGGCCTGATGCTCGTTTTTACGCTTTTTTAGGTCTTTCAATACCTTTTTTACAATTGTTTTTTACTTTTTTTCCTCTAATTATTAAATAATTTTAGATTAATTTAAAATTTAAAATAATATTAAAATAAGACAACATTTTTTGACCTTTTTTAATGCCTAGGATTCGCCTAAGCTCGTCTAGGTCAAAGCTCGATCTCCATTCTTCGCTACGCTTTACGTTTTTTAGAACACTGAAAAAAATTATTACCTTCTAATGTGACCAATATGCGACAACATGATTATATAACAATAATCTTTTCAAGCAACTCAGAGAGAGAGAGGGAGGGAGGGAGAGAGAGTTTTGCTTGGTTTGTATGCGGTAGAATAGTGTGCGGTAGTTGAGTATGAGAAGAATAGTATATGACCGCCTCATGATTTGCAAATAAAGGCAGCCTCTTGATTGGTTAATTGATTGCTGTAGATTCAAGAGGCAGAATAATATAATGCATATGTATAAAAAAAAAATTTACATGTGATCAAATTAATTTCGACACACGTGTAACGTATGATTATACTTATAAAAATTATTACCTTCTAACTAATTCATTTTTATTTTGAGAGAATCGTGTTGATAACGTGTTATCAACTATAAAGAAAAAAAGAAAAGTCAATAAATGTATGTATTTTATTAAGAATCAAAAGTCCATATTTATATGAAAGAATTAAGGTTACAAGAGATACAACAATCATAATGACTAGGTCTGCAAGAGTATAAAAGTTATTCATAAATACTATTATATTTACAATAAAAAGTAGCTTTTCAATTATCAAGATGTATCTTAAGTAATTATTTCTATTAATAATCATAATTATTTTTACTTCTTGGATGCTGAATTGTGCATGTGTTTTTAATTGACAAGACTTATGATTTTTGAGGGTAATTTATAGTTTAAATTGATAAGAGAATTTTTTTTCTTGATATAATAAGTGGATTGAGTTATTTTGGGAAGTGTGGACCATTTTCTTAAACTAATTTCAAAATTTATGTATTCTTTGACCCCAAAAAAATATCACATATTTA